CAGCAGCAGCAGCAGCAGCAGCAGCAGCAACAGCAACAGCAACATCAACATTTGATCAGAACTATACCTGCCTCAAGGTAAGTCGCATTAATATTTTTATAAATTTTTTATTTTTTTTGTAAAACGAAATTTTTTTTAAATATTTTTTTTATTTACTTTAATTTTAAATTGAATTATTTCATGCTCATTAAAAAAATATTTCCTTGTTTTTAAGAAATACTTGTACGACGCGCTACCTGCGTTGGATAATATGCTAAATTTATTATTCGCTTTATAGTCATAGTCTTTGATCAATTTGAGACTCACAAACTTTTCGTCGGTCCGCCTGATTTTGATTATTTGAAAAAAGCATAATTTATGATAAAGAAACTTAATATTGTATATCTGGAGTAAAAAAAAAAAAAAGAAAAAAATAAATTCTAGACATTAATTTTGAATCCGCCCAAAATATGTTCTACAGCAGTTAAATAATGAAAAAAGCACTTTCGAAACAATGATTAGTCGATTTATTGAGCGAATGCCATGAATTATTTCGAGTATTGTGTGACCTACGCCACCTTAGCAACACTAAGATGAATTTCAAAGGATTAGCTATTATTTGAGTATACGAGTAGCACAATTGTGTTCTGGACAGCATGTTTCTTATACGGCATTTTGGGAAAAAACAATTTAATTCACTTTGATATATATTTACCGTAACTCAGATGTTTGCCATCCGCAAGACAGATTAGACTTGCCTTAGATTGATATGTAGATCTTTTTTTTTTTAGGTCAAAAAAAATTTGAATTTCGAGTCCTGGAATTGTAATAAAGAGAGTACTCACCTACAGATTTGAAGGCGGGAGTCGTCACAGCAGAAAATTCTTTACCCTAGGAAGGTTGAAGATCAACCAAGCATTTAAAATTCTTTGCTACACACATTCGTTCCCCGTTATATCAACTGTAACTGCAAGTAGAGCATATGCAGCAGAGCAAATAATCCGTTCTTTGGTAACATTTTGAAGTTTTTGGAGTCTGATGCCTTTTTATAACCTCTCTACTTATATGCTCTAATGGTGTTTTACCAATAAATATCGGCTATTAAAAATTATTCACGACGTAGGTAGTCCCACTTAAACTGCCACTTTGGGCAGAATGAGCAAAATGTTGAATCGGTGGTTTTTACTGAAAACTTTTTCGCCAAAGCTGTCCTCCCTTCTTCACTGGCTACACGTTTCACCGAAACTATATTCCTAAGATATTCAACTATATCAATTGGTCACAAAACAGATGCTCACTACAGTGCAGCAATTTGGTATCGTTCGCCGCGAAAAGTGGAGCCTAATGCCGCCACTGGCATCAGTATCCACAGAATACTAATTCATGTGGATATACCAAGGCTGATTGAGTAGCTTTAGTTGGACAGACGGACATATGGGCGGACAAACATGTTTATATGTATTCCAAATCTGGAACTGGCCAAGGATTTAAATATTTTATGCGATTTTTGAAGCCTAGCTCTGCGTGTTATTGAAAAAATAATTAAATTTTGATATACTATAATATTGGGCAGGCATGGTCAAGTTCTCCCATTTTCGTAAAGTTGCTAAAACATCATCCACGGAATAATTCAGTAAATTTTTTTTGCAAATCTATATTTCTATAATATCGACTTTGCACTACTTTTCGTTGTTCGCCTACGTACTGCTTTACCCTACTGCGCAGTCTCTTCTTTTGTTAAAGATTAAATTGTTTCGCATTTACTCCATGATTTTTGATGTATCCCTCAAAAACTTACGAGGGCGTACTTGCAGCACGTTCAGGTGCTCGCTAAAAAGCTAATACTCTATCAAGCAATTTAGTATTGGTAGCAGTAAAATAATTGTAAACAATTTGATAAATAAGAAATAAACGAACGCTAGCTATTATGCCAGAAACAACCAGCCTATTATTTACCCATAATAATTATAAATTTTCGCAATTTTATTATACCTTTCAATACCAGAAAATAGAAATTTTTCATTAGGAGAGAAATATTTTAACTGCATCAACAATTTGTATTTGTAGGGCATTTTATAATATTATAATATATATAAGGGCCGAAACAATGAAAACAGTGTGTATTTACAGATGAGAACAATATTTTTATACCCATCAACGCGGAACGGGGTTACAGTCATTTTGTCAAAACATTTGTAACACCCAGAAGGACGCTTCAGAGACCCCAATCCGAATCGATTTAAATATACTCGTCTGTTTGTCTGTGTAATGTCCGTTGTCTTGCCGCAAAAACGAAGCTATCAACTTCAAATTGACAGAAGCATTAAAAGTTCTTGTATGCACGTTCATATTGAAAATAAACGCCCATAGTACGACATAAACTGAGGAAATTTTTGTTTTCTAAAAGTAATAAAAAAAATCGGTTTTTTGCTCTATACTAATACACTATAGCAAATAAACGTGCAAAAGCTTCAATGCATACACTATGGACGATACTGTAGGACCTGTACTGTAAAAACAGCAAAAGTTGTACGCGCCTACCCAATATATGATCGACGATATGAACGATCAAATGCAAAACAAGCGATTGCAAAAACATGCTTCAAAACACCTGCATGTCCGTCCATATATCTGTACGTCTTCGCGGCTGTGTAGTATTTTTGGTAAACAATCTCTCGTTAGCGTAAATGAAGATATTGTCTACCACTTTGCAAAACAATATGGAACTGGTCGAAACTCTTCACGGGACACGTCTACAAGATCTACACAAAGTAGAAAACATCAGCCATCTTCACTCCATATTATTGAGCATTAAAATGTAATTCTTTTACTTGTTTTGTCTTTTTTTATTGTAATGCTGACCGGGTATAAAAGATTAGTTCACGATCGAATATAATTTTCTTACTTGTTGAATATTAGAATTGATTTACGGTGATAGAAAAGAAAGAAACAAAGTTTTGCTAAATATATGCAATATGATCGATTCGTCTAATCAAAAAGGTGTATGCAACTCATGTTTCTGTTTGTACGTCTTTTAAGTATAATTATGATCGACGGAATAAGAGTGTACGAATCATATTGGGCTATAGGCTTGGTCAATATAACAATATGAAATATATATATTCTTCTTACTGTAAGTCTTTTTTTTCATCGGTCTCGACCATAGCGGACAAGTATTTATTTCAATGAAATGCACCTTTGGATAGCTCGACGGACGGACTTAACGGATGTATTTACTTTACGTTTCTTAAATTCATAAGAAAAGAGTTAAGAAGATTTTTTAATGTACGGGGTTTTCTATATGAAAGGACAGGTTTTTGGTTTTATAAAACGGTTTTATCCGAAAAGGGAGATATGGCGGTTCTTACGAAGCAAAAGTGCTTTTCCTTGACGCAGTCCAAAAAAACCTACAATTTTTTTAAGAATATCATTCAAAATCTCTGCTTATAGGCAGGAAAGTGAATTTTTTCATACCCTACGTAGAGACCTAGAAGAGCGTTAGATGAATACACTTTCCGATATAGTCGGTTCTCAACATCGTTTTCCGAATCGACTTAAGCTTGTCTGTCCGTCTGGGGTACTTTAATAGCGAAATATAAGCGAAGCGTTATTCGTTGGTCGAAATGATGAAGGCGTATTCACTTTGTCAAAACGTTCTAAGCTCTCAGGAGGACAGTTCAGAGACGCTATAAATTGGATAAAGTTTTGATCAGAATTAAGTTCTAATCGAGTTAGACATGATCCTTTGTCTGCCTATGCAATGTCTGATGTAAAAATTCTTTTTGGAAACGGACCGAAGCGTGCAAAGATCAACTTTGTTGCGATAGAGATTCTACTACTCAACGAATTGCTGAGAAGCGATTATCAATTAGTAATTGTTAATATTTTAAATATATTTCGGCATGTGGGTTGCAAGCACTCTAAGAGAACGCAATTGCGTTTCATTAGTTTTTATTTCGCACGCCCGTCAACAAAAAGGCATCTCCCTGTACTTAGTCTTAACTGCAGTTTTTTAATTTGCTTCTTCCATGCAGATTAAATTTCAGGTCGTTCAGCAGACATTGAAAAACTTTTCGATATATGACCACATTCGCCATTTTCTTTACATCTTATTTGTTGAAATTTCCATCAACTTCTGCAAAAGAATTGTTCTTCATCAGCAAAATAATTCGCTTCTATGAAATAAGTCAAAAATTCTCTTACAATTTCCTTCGAAAAGAAGTTTCTTGAAGAAGATGCTTGTTTTTTAACCGTGCCACTCCCCCACTTTCAATTTGAACTTAGGCAAACAACACTCCTTTCTCATTTCTTGACCATATAGTCCTTCCTGATCACTATCATGCCTATACGCATAGATAATATCACCTTAACGGCTGCTCAAACGCGAACTTTCGCAGTCTCTCGATAATATCGTATAATTGCTAAAATATCTCCTAGAAAATCCCGAAAATTCGTAAAAATAATATGTAAACAAAATAAAATAAAATGAAAAGGAAAAGGGGGAAAAAAATGCATTGAACGTAAAACTTGTTGTAGGAGATTAAAGAAAAGTTTTGTATTTAAATATTTTCTGTATTGTTTATATAAATCATGAAATTAAAAACAATCGTTTTAAGCGCAAACTTCTTTCTATAAATAATTAAATGCAAAGATAATAAATACTTGTGTGTAATTATGCCTTTACACATTACGTTCTATGTGTTTCGTTTTGCATTTTAAGCATGTTTTTGCACATCGCATAGGCTCGATTCAAAGTCGACTGCATATGCTTTTTAAAGTAATTAGAAGAATTATTTGCAGTAAGCTAATAAAAGCGCACATATATTTGTACTTGAATTTGATTGAAAACCAGTAAATCTTGTCTCTCATTGTCCAAGCAAAACGCGAAACTCATCCTACATTGACAGATTTGAGAATGTATTTAGGAAATTTACTGCTACATCCGTAGATTTTATAATCCCATTATCTCATTTGTTCTATCAACAGCACCAGTAGCGTGTCGAGGCAGCATTTAAAGTAGCTAAAGTTGTTCCTGATATACAGTATAACAAAATTTATGCTATCCGAAGAACTCCTATGACGGTAACACTTCGGATGG